CTCATAAGATCTTTTTTTTACAGCAGGTAATGAATCATCTTCATGATATCTTTAAATGGATGATCAATACTATATTTTCCCATAAAATGTTTGGTTTGAAATCCGATTTTAAGTGCATTAGAGTTTTTGTGCACCAAATGGGTGAATGCCATAATAAATTGTCATCAAATATGAAAGAAATATAGCAGAGATTAATTGCCATATTTATTTATGAGTCTATAAAATACCTTGTGAAAGTCCTGGCACATTTTTGGGATACCAATTTGAACCTTCAGGAAAGTTAAAAGCATTAAAAGAGACTGCAAGGAGATTTATTATCAGAATGTTTTTAATTGCAGACCCAGGCAGACATGCGGGTATTAGGATGGCTGTGCCCTTAATGGGCATGTCTCATGTGTTTCTCTTTTTTTTTCTCCCCCTTTAAAAATGATATACTTCCCATATTTTTATTGATTTGTGAAGATCTGTCATAATTTACTGGGGCCAGCACGTGACATCACAAATGGTCCCAGCTTCCCTAAAGTAGCGGGCCCCAGGTGGCACAAAAAAGAAGGCTCCTGGCCAGTTCTAATGCTCAGCTTTAAACGTAGGAGAAACCCCAGTGAAAGAGAACACTGGGGGAATGCCACTAATCAGACAAAACGTATATGGCTTGGAGGTCCTCAGATTTTCACTGAAGCCTTAAAGTCTACGATAGTGAAATCCTTTAGGGAGAAGGATGACAAAATCTTATTCTTAAAAGTTGCTTGTTAGCAGTGGTCCAGTTAGAGAGCTGTACCCAAAAAATACACAGCCCCTAGCTGGAGGCAGAGCCAGCACCAAATCAGCTCCATTTCCGTTTGTCTAGGCCGTAACTCTGTCCCCTAATTATACACTCAAACTGCTCCTAGGCTGTGTTGCAAAGAGGAGAAAGGCCATTGTATTTTATCCAGGCAAGGCCTTCTATGTTGTCTCTTTCAGGTCTTTCTTTTTCACATGCATTTCTTTCCCAAAGACTTTGGCTTCAAAAACTGTTCCCTGGTTTTCAAATCCATACATCTGTTGTTGACTTTCAATTTTAATTCCTTGAGATGCCTTGTGCTTATCATTAGAAAGATGTCACCATCCAGAGGATAAAAATAATCAAGAATTTCTATACATAAAATCTGCTTTGTGAGAAGTTAATGCACCAATTCTCCCCACCAATCTACTGATGCAAAAACAAAGATGTGTGTGTGTGTGTATATATATATACACACATAGATATACATACATCCTCCTGAAAATAGTCACTAACTAAATGCCATTAATGGTTTTTCAGACCAGCATAGAAATATAGACATAATCTTGGCTTGATTTTTTTAGAGGCATTTTTGTTGTTGCTGGCTTTGTTTTGTTTTTTTAATGTTCTTACCGGTCACAGCTGGGTCTGTTTGCTGTTTTCTATTTTAATTAGCGACCAACATTGAATTTCTGAAACTCTCAAATGATTACATAAGCTCTTTCATAATCCAAGATGATACAAAAGCATGTAATAGAGACCCTGAACTTGTGTGCTTGCCATGGCATCTCTTTTGATAATTTCTCTGCTAAATTACAGTGTGTTATCCCAGGGCACTAAATGAGAATGCTCTCGGTCCAGCTGGAGTTAGCAATATCTCATGGCTGTATCTGGCTTTATATATATTTGAAATACGGTCCTGTGGCAAGACCCAAAGTCAGGAGGTCTGGATTCTGGTTCTTCCTCTGTCATCTACTGGGTTATATGATCTTGGATTTTCTTCCCACCTCTCCAGTCTCCTTATCCTGAGCCTCAAATAAGATAAAGCAGGGGTGTTTAGGATAGCTCCCAAGCATGCTATAAATGCAAAAGAATGTTATTATTAACAAGCTATAATATTTAACTCTAAGCTTAGGTTTGTATCAGGCCTGCTGCACCAGGATCTCAGCATTGTCTCATTTTTTACTTTATCCAGAAGTTCATCCTCTCTTTCTATTTGCCACCATCCTGACAAGCAACATCAGCACCCTCATCTGGGAATTACTGCCTTTTTATTTTCCCCTCCTGATGCCAGAGTTGCTGCTGACAATACATATTCAGGCAAGGCAGGGGCTCGCTGTGTTTCACAATCAGATGCCATGCACACTACTTCCGTCAAAACAATTAGTGTTCATTTCGGTTTCACTCGGGGAGACCTGCGGTGACTGATCAGTATAAATTATAGATGCCTCTGTCCAGATGCACTTGTTCATTCATGCATAGATTTGAGGAAATTTCATTCTTCTTAGTTCAAAAACAGTCACTGAAAAAAAATCATACTTAAAAAAATACAATTTAGCACATTTTCATTTGTGTTATTATACCCATATATTCACACATTCTATTTATGATTTGAGGCATTGGAAGTTGATTTGGGGCATTTTGGAAGTTGTCACTCCCTCCCTGTAAAATCTGCTATCTTTATAAATCATTTAGAAATGATAGCTATTTAACCCAAAATAATGCAGTATGATTTGTTTTCTTTTCTTTTCTTTTTTCTTTTTTTCTTCCTTCCTTCCTTCCTTCCTTCCTTTCTTTCTTTCTTTCTTTCTTTCTTTCTTTCTTTCTTTCTTTCTTTCTTTCTTTCTTTTTTTTCTTTTCTTCCTTCCTTCCTTCCTTCCTTCCTTCCTTCCTTTCTTGCTTTTTTTTCTGGTAGTACTTGCATTCAATTCAAGTTCATTGTTAAAGACATATCCTTTACTCTGCCTGCTCAGGTCCCTCAGTGCATTTCAAGCAAAGCAATGTGGCACTCTCCCCACTCCAAATAGGCCTTTGGCTGTTTACTTTGTTTCATATTTGTTTTAATGAGCAGCTAGAGGAATTATCAAGACATGTGGCATAATACAACAAAAGAATCTGTATCATTTATATAAAATACTTTAGGTGGAATGACACCCTTAAATATAACTGGGAGGGTCTGTATTTAATAGGTTTATTTACTTGCTTCAATGAAATTCAATGTGTACACGTAGACAGTTGGGTATTTTCCCCCAAAACTAAATTAATCAGTGCTGAACAAAGCAATCAAAAGCCAGCACTATAGAGAAGCTCAGAGCACTTGGCTGTGGAAGTGAGTGCCTGTCGACAGTCAGGAGGATGAGAGCAAATTCCATGGCAGCATCCCTGAATCACTGTCCAGGAAAGACTTCTTCTCACTGGAGCTTTCTGCCAGACAGAGGCTGATACTGGTTAAGCCTGCTGGTTTGGTTTTGTAATGAGGGTCCCAAAATAAAGGGAAAAGGCACACCTCATAAGAACAACTTTAAGGGAACCCTACTAAACACTCAAAGTTGTGACAATCAAATTTGTCAGTGGCCCTGTGGGTGCAGACTCTCCCCAAGGAAAAAAATGTTAAATTAAGATCTCTCATGTCTGGAAACAACAGCCTTCCTTCCCCAAATGTTCTGATAACTTATAGCAACTTTGAACACAACAGAAAGATTCCTTAACATAAACCCTGTTCTTTTGTTTGTTTTCTTTTCTGCAGATGAAGAAAAACATTGAGGTATTTTTACAGTCCTGCCTTCCAATTCACTTTACCACTGCTCTTCCACCTCTTCCTTTTCCTTTTGAAAAATCTTGTTGCTTTCCTCTAACCCTAGAGAGCAGAGACAAGAGGTAGGCCTGGAGGCCCTGCACACAGCATTGATACCGCAGAGGTCTTATAAATCAGCTGAAAATCAATAAATTCTTTATGGTAGTTTCTCCTTTGCAATCAGATCGCCAGGGGACAGAACTAATGCTTTTTCCTCACCACCCTCCCTATTTTTCTGTCATAAAAAAGAAAAAAAAATCTGCTTAGGAACAAACGGGCAATCAAAGTTGCTGAGTAAGTATTTCAACTATCTAATTTTATTACTTTACAATTGACATACCTTCCCTCTGGAAATGTTTGCAATTAATTAATTAGCAGTAATCTTCCCCAAGGGACTAATTTAATGAATTCTCTCCAATTCTTACTTAAAAAAAAATAGCTTAGATGTATCCAAGCTGCAAATGTGTAGATGGCTCCAAAGTGCATTTTGAAAAATCAAGGGCTCTTATCTATTACGGTGAATTTTTGTCACTAAATCCATCTGGCGATAACTATAATTCTTCTAACTAGGAGTTTGCCCGGGTTGAACGCAAGGTTTCTCCAAGGTAACGACACCCAGCAGCAGCCAGGAAATCTGGCTCGGTTTGCTCGTATTTAGAATGGAGCTTGTCCTCCTGTTAATAATCTCTTAGGCGGAGAAGTCTGCGGTTTGCGGCTTATTCAAGCTCTGTGCTCGTTCTGCAGAATCCGTAAAGAAAGAAAGAAAGAAAGAAAAAAGCCAGTGTCGTTCTAAAGAGGTCGCGGGCTCCTGGGCCTACTAGTCTCCTCTGAAAGGCGCCAGAGGAAAGCTCTCCGCCAGGTATCGCGTGCCAGGCCCCAGACCTTGCCGGTCCCTGGGCTTCCGCCTTGCCTCGCCAGAACCCAGGGCAGAGATCCAGGTTGCTCTTAACTTCTGGGCCACACGTTCATCAGTTTCAACTAGAAGATAAAACTGGCCCTTGACCTAACCCCCCTGATTCCTCTGGAGAGGTGCAGTTGGGCCTGGGAGAACGTTTTTAAGCCCAGTAACCCCATAAGTGAAAGGCGAGGGATTCCGAGGTTTCTGGCCTGCAAACCCCCAAACCCGAGAGTTCCACTCGGATCCCGGCAGCATCCCCCAAAACCTAGCCCCACCAGACTGGCCTCCCCTTTACGCCCCCAGACCTCGCAGGTTGGAGGCTCTAAGCGGGTAGCTGCGGACATGAGGACTGAGCCTTCAGGAGTGCAGGATCTGGTGGCCGCTTGCCTGAGGGTCAGGCCTAGAGTGCTCAGCCTCCTCTCAGGCACCAACGAGCTCTTCCGCCCATCAGTGCCTCTTTGAGGGCCTCTGGGATGAAGGGGCGGTCTGGCCGCTGGGCCGGGCCGGCGGGGCGTCCCGGCGGAGCGCAGGGGAATGAGTTGTCCTCCCCGCGCACTGAACCGCGGCTCGCCAGCGCCACCCCCCAGCGGAGCGCAGCGGCTGCAGTTCGTCTCCAGCTCCTTCCTGCGGCTCTCCGCTCTCCCGTGGACACGCAGCGCGGTGCGTACAAGGCAGCCAAGTTTCACCTTCGGAGGAAATGCCCTGGGGTCTTAGCCCGCGGTCTGCAGATGCCAGGGGCGCGTTTCCAGGCCGACTCCGAGGGGATCTGAACCTTGACCTCGAGGGGGCGCTATTCGGCCTACTCGAGGGCCAGAAGGCGACAGAGAAGCCCCGGGGTCAAGGCCCTGGCAAAGGCCAGGGCATGGAGAGCCTGAATCGAGCTAGAGTTTTGGAGAGACTAGGGTGGAGAGCCAGCTCCCCGTGGACAAAGACGGCCGGATCACTGACATCCACTGACGCTGCCCAGCGCTGCCCTAAGGAGCGCGGGGCCTGTGGCGTGAACAAACTTTCCTGCAGCGGAAGGGCGGGGGAGCCCGGCTGGAGGCTTCTTCCGCGAGCCACTGCTCTCCTCCACCTGCCAGCGTTCAACCTCCGCCCAGCCTTCGCCCACCCCCATTCCGTCCCCTCCCCCGCGCGCCTCTGTTCATACAGACTCCTCATCTCTCTCCTCTCCCCTCCTCCTTCTCCCTCTAGCCTTTCTCCCCCACTTTTCTCCTGTTTTTTCCTCCTGTCTCTTCTTTTGTATTCTCTCCTCCCTCGCCGCCCGGCGCTTCTCTCCTCCTCCGGGCCGCAGGGGAGGAGGTAAGCGCGCCGCGCCTGGGGCCTGCGCGGCGCAGTGGGAGGCGTTTCTACTACTTCTCCCGGGTAATTTGGAGAGATTGTATGTGCGCGCGCGCGTGAGCTTAGGGCGAAAAGGGGTAGGATCCTGCGCCAAGCAGAGAGGGTCAGGGTCTTTGACGTTCTCACCAGCTGCACAAACCTTCCGGAACAAGTGTGAGTGTGGCGAGAGTGCGCGCGCGCACACGGGCTGGCTGCGCTCGGCAGGCTTGGTGGCCCGGGGCCCCAGGGCCCGGGGGCTTGTCTGGCGGCCCGGGATTACCGTGACGTCACCTTGAGCCTCTGGCCACCTTGGACTGGGGCACCTCGGGAGCCGCACAGCCCCGCGCCGCGCCTCACCTTGCCTTGCCACCGCGCGCTTTTGGGAACCCGCAACCTCTCCCTTCCCCTGCCCATCCATGGGCCCTACTGTCTTCCGGACCACGCGGGCCGGAGGGGAGCCTTCTGGAGCGCAGGGCTCGGCAGCCAGGCTGCCTTCGGCTCTGCCTCCAGTCGCGCCAAGCGGGCGGAGGACCCGGCGCTGGGCACGGGCAGTCGTGTAAGGAACAGAGGCCGCGGACGGCTGGAGGCGCAGAACCGCGGGGCTGAGGCGGGAACTCGCAAGAGAACAGGGAGGCGGGTCAGGTATAGCCACCATGTCCTTCTCGCACTTCGGACACCCGTACGGCAGCGCTTCCCAGGTAAGAGCCTCCACCATGGAGGATGGGGGCCGACTGAGTGGAGGGGGTGGCCAGTGCACGAGCCTGCCCTTTAGCACCCTCCTCTCCCACGAGTCCCCGGGGAAGCCAGAGTGAGCAGACACCTGGGTAATGTGCCACGGACCCCTCTGACATCCCCAATCCCTGGCTGAGAACGTTCCACTCCCCCAGTGCAAGCTGAAAAATCGTGTGACCCGAAACTTGGGCACTCTGACCACGCGCTCACCGAGGTGGGTGGATTTCGGTAATCTTCCAAACAGGCCTTATTGTACAGATATCCGAGGTGCCCGGGAGAGTCTCAGAATTCCAGTCCAGAGGCTACCTGCCCATCTCACTCGTTTTCTGTGCTTGTTTACTTCTTGTCCTCTGTTCTTATCCTCCCCCTTCCTTGGGTAGATTCAAGCTCTCTGCTTCTGGTTCCTTCGATTTTCCAGACCAGGGTGGGTATTGTGCAGTGACAAGGGTTTCCTGGGGAAATTCTGGAGACATTCAGCCCTGTCTACAGTTTCTCTGCGGAGTGCAGAAGGCTAGTCCAACTTGACCACTGCCCTGCTTTGTGGTCTAGGATAAGTCTCTAGTCCTCATTTCCTTTACCCCTCATTCCCTATCTATAAAATAGGGAGCGGGAGTGAGACGTGGTCTCTAACGCTAGCTAACTTCTAGATCGGCCTTTTTAGATCCTGTGAGCCGGGAGAGAGGGTTTGCGAGGGAACTTGTGGAGTTTGGCTTCTGCAATCTGAGCTTTAGAACGTTCCCACGACCCGGACCCCCTAGAACTTTAGCAAAGGTTTATAAGTATCTATATAGCAGTTCGGATAAATTGAGTCTTCGGATAATTCCCGTCTCAGTAGAACGTTCCCACGACCCGGACCCCCTAGAACTTTAGCAAAGGTTTATAAGTATCTATATAGGCAGTTCGGATAAATTGAGTCTTCGGATAATTCCCGTCTCAGTACTTAGAATGCTCGGCGCCCGGTGGCATTGAGTTTACATTGAATGAAGGAATGATCTGGCAGTTCCTCCACTGGCTCCAGCCAGTCCCAGGCGCCGGTCTCTGACCTCCAGTGCCCCCTATCTCGCCCCCGTAGTTTCTGGTGTCTGCAAGTTCCAGCGCCACTTGCTGCGAATCTGCCCCGCGCTCGGTCCCAGACGTGGCCTCAGGCTCCACCCCGGCGGCTGCACTCTGCTGCTCACCCTACGACAGTCGGCTGCTGAGCAGTGCGAGGCCTGAACTGGGCGCGGCCTTGGGCATCTATGGAGCTCCCTACTCGGCTGCTGCAACTGCCCAGAGCTACCCAGGCTACCTGCCCTACAGCCCGGAGCCGCCAGCACTGTACGGGGCGCTGGTGAGTACACTGGAGCCTGGATCTGTGACCCGGAACCCATCCAGCCTAGGAGCAGGAGCGGCAGGGGCAAAATCCAGTGTGATATCTCCATCTAGGAAAACATAGGAAGGACGCACCACTCTGAGGAAAGGAAATGGTTAGGATTGTACATAAAGGATGCGGGTGGGGACCCACATCTTCACATTTTACAGTTTGCAGAACTCCGTACTGTTTAGAAAACATCTGTACCTCAGTCAGTGCTGTGCAAGTCATCGCCAGGCTCACTGCACAGATGAGGAAACTGAGGTGCAGAGGGACTCAAATAATCTTACCCAAAGTCATAGAGATAGAAAGAGCCAGGGAATAGTCTGGGGGAGGAAAGTAAAGGAAGTTCCCCCAGGTAATAGGAGGGGAGGTTGAGTGAGACAAGGAGTAACAGTAATAACAACTAATATTTACTGCTTATTCTGCACGAGGAATTCTGCCAAACATTGTTCTTCAATTACCTATAGGTCTTATTGTTATCCCCATTTTACCAAGGGGGAAACTGAGGCACAGAGTGGTTAAACTACTGTGCCCAGGATCACACAGCCAAGGCAAGCTGTGGTACTATAGTCTGAACCAGACTTGACTCCAGAGTTCACATTCTTAGCAACGCCGCCCCTCTCCTCCTCCCCAAATGTAGTCCTGAATCCATCCTTCCTCCTCAATCAGAATCCACAGTATGAATTTAAGGAGGCTGCAGGGAACTTTACACCCAGCCTGGCGCAACCAGGAGCATATTATCCCTATGAGCCGACGCTGGGGCAGTACCAGTATGACCGGTAAGGCATGGGGCATTGGTGACTGGCATTGCAAGTCCTTCCCCTTCCCCTTCCCCTGCCAAGGTGGGACCAATCCACAGAGCATGGGGAGCTGTGTGCTGGGAGGGGAGCAGATCCTCACTGCCAGGCCACAGACTGTCTCCTGTCTGCAGCCCCAGAGCCAGGTTCTCCCCCCAGGTACGGAGCAGTGGAGTTGAGCGGTGCTGGGCGCAGAAAAAATGCCACCCGTGAGACCACTAGCACTCTCAAAGCTTGGCTCAACGAGCATCGCAAGAACCCCTACCCCACCAAGGGCGAGAAGATCATGCTGGCCATCATCACCAAGATGACCCTCACTCAGGTGTCCACCTGGTTCGCCAATGCACGCCGGCGCCTCAAGAAGGAGAACAAGATGACTTGGGCACCCAAGAACAAAGGCGGGGAGGAGAGGAAGGTGGAGGGTGGAACAGAGGAATTGCTGGGCAGCCTAACCGGTGACACCAAAGGTATCAAACATTCACCTCCCCACCTGACATGGGTTTTCCAGCCATCAAGCAATTTGATTGGATTTTCACAACCACTCCGTGGGGGACCTTTCACAGAAGGCACCCCCTGGCTTACCCTTGTAGCTGCAACTCCCGCATTCCTCAGGGTCTTTACCTGTGTGGTTCCCTCTGCCTGGGATTCCCCGCAGAACCAGCTTCTTCTCCACTCTAAAGTGTCACTTCCTCAAAGCCTTCCCTGGCCACCCTTGCCAACTAGCTTCCCAACTTATTCTCTGTCACATCAGCCTATTTTATTGCCTTTGCCATACTTACCCCCTCAGGAATGTCCGCTCCACTAGAAAGTATCTTATCCACTGCTGTAGTTTCTAAATTCCTAAGACCTAAATGCCTAAATGATTTCTGGCACCTAGCTGGCGCTCAGTGAATATTTCCTGAATTAAATAATACCCAGCTGTGGGTGTTGAAATTGGGTGAAAACGGTCCCTTGCTTTTTTAACGTTGAGAAACTGAGATCCAGGCTTTAGGCAATGAAAAGTGGCCGTTTCCTTGGGCTACGGAAGGGGAGGAGTCTTTCAAAGGGTAGGGGCAGGTCTGGGGGTGGAAATTCTTTCCCAGGGCAGGCAGGCAGCCCTGGGGCAAATGTAGGAGACAGTGTGGCCAGCTTGGTGAATTACACCGAGAATGCCCTGAGTGCAGGGTGCATCTTGCTAAAAGCTTCTCAGGGATGGGCACTCCCAAGGGTTTCCCTTGGGGCCTGGGGCTTTTCTCACTCCACTCCTGATTTCCCGCAGACGCTACTGCTAGCCAAGAGGCCCGGGGGCTCCGGCTGAGTGACCTGGAAGACCTGGAGGAAGAAGAAGATGAGGAGGCAGATGAAGAAGAGGAAGTGGTCACAGCTACGGACAGGCTGGCTGAGCTCCATAAAGACAGTCAGTCTCTGCCAGAGGTTCAACGTGCCGCCGCGCGAGAGGGCCGGCCGGAGCGTAGGGAGTGCAGTCTGGCGGCGCCCCGCTTCTCCTTCACTGAGCCCCGCGGGTCGGGAGAAGCAGACTTCCTCCGGGTTGAGCCAGGAGGCCCCAGGTTGACCATGCACTACCCATGCAGCGAGAAACCTCGCATCTGGTCTCTGGCGCACACGGCGGCAGCCAGCGGCGGCGTCGAAGGGGCACCTCCATCCCTGCCCAGGACGCGAAGTCCTGAGTGCCATCTGATTCCTGGACAGCCTCCGGGCTCGGGCACGAGACCCACGGTCCGTAGAGACTCCGCGTGCGAAGAGCCTTCTCGAGTAGCCAAAGCCTTTGGAAACCGCACGTTTGCCCTCCAGGGTCTGCCGCCGAATTGTGCGCCGTGTCCGTGGCGGAGGGAGCCTGCAGCGCAGTGCCAGTACCCGTCGGGAGCTGAAGGTAGTGGGCCCCCCAACCGCGCTGGGAGTGTCCGTCCAAAAGACACCTGCTGCTATCCCTCACCCGCATGCTCCCCAGCCGCTGGACACGCCCTCTGCCTCTCAGCATTCCTTGAAACAGAAGCTTAGAGAGTTCTGTTTACTTCTAGTACCCACATTTCAAAGCCAAATGATAGTACTAATTTCAGAATGAGAGAGTAACTTACCTAGGGAACACTTAGAAAGTCATTGAAGAGATGGGCAGGTTAGATCTCTCCAATGTTCAGCTGAACGTGCCAGGTGGGCATCATCATGGCCCTCTGGCACAGGTACCCTTGTCCCGTGCCTGCCCATCAGAAGAGGCCAGCTGGCTCCTGACATTCTTATACCAAGACTTTGCTAGGGGTAGGCAGGCACCAGGGCTTTCTGAGAAGTCTAAGGGTAAGGGTCAAATATAGACAATTGATTTAAGGCCAGTGCTTAAGTTCAGCTTGCAGCCCTCTGTGTCACCCACTAAAATCCCTAGGGAGTGTAGCTCAGGTGGGTGCTGTCCCTGGAGAGCACTTACCCCCAAGAGCTCACCCCCAAGTAGGGCAGGACTGCCAATCAGTGTCTTCTGCCCCTGGCTGGTTCTCTGGCTGTGCCTGGTGGAAGGGAATTTCACCCGACAAAGGGACATTCCCCAAGCATTTGGCAGCCTCCAGCAATTACTGTCAGATTGTGCTCTTTGAAGTAATTTCTCTCAGGATTAGCTACTGGCTTAGAAAATTGGGTTACACTGTTATTTGAAGTTACACATAACGGGGTCCAAATGTTACCTCTGGCAAGCAAATTGCCTCTAGATTTTTGATTCCCTCTGGATGAGACACCACCGACCTCCGATTTCCTAGGAATCACCACCAAGTGGCCTTTGGGTTTTAATCAACCTTTCCTCTCTCAGCAGGTTAGCGCAATGGCTGCGATTTGCAGAAGAATCTTGGAAGTAAGCCCTAATTTTTCGAACTCACCTCCACACTAAGAAGCTGAGAGACCTCGCCAGGGTCTGGGGCTCTCACTTCGCCTAAGAGACAGACACACAGAACCCTCCTACTAGCCCTCCTTGCACGCAGAGCTGGGAGTGGCTGACAGACATGCCAGATCCCACTCCCACGGAGGAGGTGGCAGGGCACCTTGGAGAAGGCCAGGTGGGAAGGCTGGGCGAGTCTGCCTGGTGCATCGACTCAGTGCCCAAGTCTCCGTCTCCCCTTTGGATTCAGGGTCTGAAGCTGCTCCCTCTCCTGCTCACTCCCATCACCCTCACTTTGTAACTTCAATGCTGACCTGGCCCCCAAGGACCACCTGCGTCTTCTCCCTGCCTTCCCACTCCTTGTGTCCTTAAAAATAATCAAACCAAGCCGGAGCTGTGTGGCCTATTTGCTCCTGGGGTGCTTGGAGAGGTTGGGGTGAAGGGGAGGATGGAATGTGGTCAGGGGTGCTGAGGAAAGGGCAGCATGAGCTGCAGATTTCAGTCCCTTTCATAGCTGGGGGGGGGGAACTGACTCGATAATGGCCAAGACGAAGGCTCCTGTGGCTTAGCCCACCAAACTCTGCGGGGCATCCAACTTGCAGAGTTTGGCTGAAGCCAGGCCGATAAGTGTGCTTGGGGTGGGGGGACCTGCAACTGTGAGGAGCGGGGGAGGAGCGGGACGGAGCTGTCAGGATATTCGTCTGGAAGCTGAAGTTGTTAACGGGCTCGTAGTTGGGTTTTAAGTTTGTTGGGAGGAGGGGCGATGCGGATCCCCTTGGCCTTCCGTTAGCGCGCCGGTGGGGCCCCGCGCGCTCCTCCTGTGGGACCGAATGGCGACGTCTGTCAGCTTGCCGGGTCGATTAGCGGCGAGAGGGGGCATTCTTTCGTTTAGTCAAGTGCCAGCAAACACTTCCGGTACAGGCCAACCAATGGGAGCTGACGAGCGGGGCAGGGGCTTTGTCCCCCAGCGAGCCGTGTCGGGAGTAGGGCTGGGTGGGCGTCGGGTGTGTGAGAGATTTAAAGATGGCGGTGCCACCCCCGAGCTCGCGTCCCCGACCCAGTGGCTTCGGCTTTAGCCAGCGAGTGCACACAGTTGAAAAGAGGGAGGTGAACCCGGGACAGTGCCCTAGGAGGAAGGTCCGGGTTGCTGATGGGGGTGGGAAGGCAGCCGAGATGTGCGCCCAGGGGCTGGATCCTTGGGGAGCTGTGTCTGCACTGCTGGGCTCTAGCCCTGCCATCCTGGCTGGGTGACAGCCTTTCAAACCTGTATGGTGCCAGCTGACTGGTCACCGAAGTCTGGGGCAGGAAGGATCCACATCCTCCTCGGCAGATTTTAAGAACCTTGGAGGCTGCAGAGAGGAAAAGTGGGGGGTGAAAAAAACAGGGGAGCCTGCCACCTCCCAGCCCCTAACTTTCTAGAGAATGGCCAGAGTCGAAGGGGATTTAGAGATCATGAATTATAAAAGCATAAACCCCTTCCCCAGATGAGGAAACTGAGGCCAAAGGAGAGGCCAGAGACTGGCTCAGGGTCACAGAGAACCAGCCCTCCCCTCAGGGTCCACTGCCCCCTTTCCCTCTCTTCCTCTGGAACTGCCCCTCCGCCCCCACTCCTGTTTTCCTTTTGCTTCAGGGCAACAGCTGCTCCTACCCTCATCATCCCCGGGGACCCTCCAGGCCCCCTCACTGACCCTCGGCTTAGGGTCCGGGAAATTAAACTGCGAAAAGATAAACATTATTTCCAGTCGGCTTTGCAGGATTAACGCTTGTAATAAAGAGCATTAGCTAGAGGTTTCTTTCAAGGCGCTCTCAACCCCACCCCCTCCTGGGGGGTCCAGGTAGACCCCCGCTCCAGGCTGCTGAAGCTGCAGATGCTGGTTCCTAGGGCCTCTAGTTGGGGGTGGGGCTTCAGCTAGGCACTTTGTGGAGGAAAGAGGGGCCCTTAGCATCTGATTGGGTCAGCATTTGCAGATGGGAAACTGAAGGCCAGAGAGAAGGGACCCACCTAAGCCCGAGATCACGTGGCTGAACTGGGACTAGGGTCCAGAGAGTGGGGGATGGGGGTGGGAGGAGGGTTTACCTGCACACGGCCCCCAGCCATTCAGCCTTTATAGGACCCTGAGCCTTGGGAAAGGAGGCCCATCTGGGGTCATCTGCTTTACTACCCAGGATCGCTGGAGATTGTCTCTCCATCTCTGGTCTGGGAGGTCCAGCCTCTCCCCACCTCCCACAACCCAGAACAGGAGACTGCAGCCCAGGATTGTCCCAAAGATCTGGACCTGGTTGGCTGGAGGCAGTCGAGTGTGCGAAGGGCTGAAAAGAGTAGCCTTGAATCCTAGGAAACCACTGTACCGCCTCAGTCCCATTACTACCTTGCTGTGGGGCCGTGGACAAGCCCCTTCCCCTCTCTTAGTTTCCCCAGCTGTCAAGTGCGGAGATGATCTTGGTCGCCACCCAGGTGCTTGGTGTTCGCTCCGGAGCTGATGGTGGGCTCCAGGAGTCCAGGTGAAGGCCTGCAAAAGGCAAGGCTGAGCCTGCGATTATCCCAGCCTCCGGCCCCCCGCAGCAATCTGTTCCCACCATCTCCGCCCCCACGGAGAGCCTCCTGCAAATCTCCCAATATAATCTCCCAGAATCATATTTTGAATACTGTTTTGATGAAACACCAGAGCAAGGGGAGGGAGGGTGCAGCCCTGTTGTCCTCAGCTGAGCTTGCCGGTACCCTCAGACAGCTGGCCTGTGAGCCCTGCAAAGTGAGTGACTGCAGAAAGGTGCCATTCTCCAGTTGGGAGAGTCTGTAGGAGTCGCCCCCCAAAACCCCTTGATGGCTAACGTGCTCCTTCCCTCGGCTGGGGGGAGCAACCACCAGGGAGCTGGGTAGAGAGCTGAGCCAGGGAAGCCACAGCTCATAAACATCTTCCTTTATTGATTCCTTTCCCATCAGGCAGGAGTCGCTATGTTGGCACTGGACTCACTAGATCTCTCTGCTCACTCTCAGCTCGAACATCCTATGACCCTGGTCATGATGATGAGAGCTTCTGGAGCCCTTTCCATGTGCCAGACTCAGTGCCATGTCCTTTAAATGCATTGACTCATTTATATGTCACAAGAGTCCCAGGGAGTATTATATGATACTTACTTGTATGACCATCTACTGGATGAGGGAACAGAAGCTCAGAGAGGTTAAATAACTTGATGTCAGTTACCCAGTTAGTAAGTAAAGAAGTCAGACTCTGCGTAGGACTGATTCTTAACCACCAAGCTCTACTGCTAATGCATTCTCTTATTTTAAAATTCTTGGATTCTGTTATGAAGAAGAGCCTATGTTTCTGAGACTCTGACTTCTATGAGTCTATTGTCTCATGCCTCTGGGACTCCAGGTTGCCCTTTATCCATTCTCAGGAATGTCTGATGGACAAGGACTTCTAGAGCCTCCTGGATCTGTCCCCTCTATCCTGGCCGAGCGCCTCCGCCACCCTCCCCACTGCCCACACCCTGGGATATGGCTATGTGAGACACCCCTGCTCAGTGTTTGGCAGAATGTAGCCCAGGAATCGCCACCATCAAAATCAGCCTTTAACTAAAGAATCCCACTGGGAGGTGGGCTGGAAGATCTGTTTGTGTGACAAGCATCTTGGGTGGCCTGATGGGCTTCTAACCTGAGTGGCAGTGGCTGACTCTCAGGTGGCCAGACCCTAAGCTCAGCATGAGGCCCGGGGACGCCTGCTGTTGGCCAGGAGTAAATCACATCCCAAGAACAGGTGCAAACATTTTCTCTATTATTTAATCTGGATTCACATGCAATCACCTCATCTAGTTCAGCTCCCCCCTCCCCCCCGGCACCCCTCCAATATCCTGAAGCTCAAAGATGTGTTGTTATTGGAAGAGGAGTGGGGGAACCTAGGAGACTAACTTGCCTTTTCCAGCTGTCTGACGGCTAACTAGGATTCCAGGTTTGGAAGCATCTTAGGAGGCCCTGGCACCTCAGAGTGTAAGAGAATTCTGTCCCCCAAATGAGCACGCATTCCAAAATCCCTACACGTTTGGGGAATGCCGCCACCAGGAAGGAGAGACTGTATCTTGAGCAAATAAAAGGATTGATGGAGAGGGCGGGTCTTTCGCTGTCTCCTGATACAGCCAGTTGCATCTTTGGTGGCATTAGAAAGTTCTTTCTTTTCTGAGCCAAATGCTTGCCATGTCACTTCTGAAATCTAGCTCCTGAACCCACAAGTCTTACTCTCCTTCATGATTTCTTCTTTGTCCGACCCTCTTGGCATCCTCTTCCCCTCGTCCTCTCAGTGGGACTGCTTGGCTCTTACTCTGAGATCAGAGCAAGAATGGAGTCCAGTTGCTGTCTCCCAGTCATATGGTGGAGGACCCCTCTGTTGGCATGGTTTTCTTCACTAAATGCTACATTGGAGAGGGTGGAGAGACTGACCTGAGTCCTTGGGTAAGTCGCCAAAAGCCTCTAAGACTCAGCTTTCTCCTGGTAGGTTGAGATCATGTTGAACCATGTGGCTCTTTCATAATTTCTCTAGCCACCATGGGAACCAAGATTTAAATCAGTGTTCCTTGAATTTTGATCAGAGGCAAACCAATGCCCTGATTTTTGCCAAGAGTTAGAGAGATGTTGAAGCCAAGCTAGCACCAAACAGAGGCTTCTCCTTTGCGAATCAGAGGACTGGAAAAAAGTTGAAGCGGGAAGGTCACTCTGAGATCCAGCATTATTTAACGCCATGGCCAGTTCACATCACTGCTGGTACACCTTCGACTGTTTGGCAAGTTAATCTGTATTCATGTAAAGGGAGGTTATTATTTCTGAGATCATCAGAGAGTGAGGTCTTCCCTCATTGCCTGGGACCATCTCCAGATTCCAACTTGACTTTATTTAAAGTCTTAGACAACCTGCCTTAGAACAATAATGCCAACATTGATAATGATGAGGCTGGAGCATTTGTTCTTCACCCTGGTGGTGCAGAAAATCAGCCAGCAATGTGTTTTGTTTTGTTTTGATCTTCTGAACCAATATCCAAGCTGAACTCCAGACCAATTAATTCCAACCCCTAGGAGTGAGTCCCAGCAGTATTTTTCAAACTTCTAAGTGATCCCAGTGTACAGCCAAGGTTGAGAACCAGTGAACTACAACCAGGCTGTTTCTTTTCCAGCCCCAGCATTGTCTAGGTGTGTAGGAGGAGAGGGTGGGGTTTGGCAGACAGAGTCTGGAAGCCTGTGGTTTCTCCCTAGCCTCTATGGATTTCAGTTTTCCCCTGGTGAAATGAGGTCTAATATTTATATTTTATCACATCATTTATAAGGAACCCAAAGATGGATGTAATCTTGGGTATTAAAGGCCAGCATCAAGCCAGGGGAGACTTCCCTGAGCCTTGTCC